TCTGTTGTTTATAAGCTACCCAGTTAATTTTGTCATCGTGGCCTGAATGAACTAAGATGTACATGAAAGAATTTATTTAACCTATTTGTATGTTAAGAAGTATAAATAAATACCTATTTGTTTTGTAGGTTAATACCTGCCAGATTTCATGTTTCTGATTTTTGCCCCCTACTTTATCTCTCAGAAAATAAATTCTTTTAAAGTTGTGGAGTTATTTGATTATCTTTCTGTGTTTTAATTGTACCTAAGAAAAACTGTTCTTATCAGTCAGGTTTGTTTGTTTTTCTAAGCTAACTTTCACTGAGTGCTTGCTATATGCCAGGAAATTCTTATCAGTGTCCCAAGAAGCAGATGTCGGCTGGGCTCGTGGCTGACACCTGTAATTCCAGCACTTTGGGAGGCCAAGGCGGATGGATCACCCGAGGCCAGGAGTTCAAGACCAGCTTGGCCAACATGGTGATTGCAAACCCTGTTTCTACTAAAAATACAAAAATTAGCTGGCATGGGGGCCGAGTCGGTAATCCCAGCTATTCAGAAGGCTGAGGCAGGAGAATCACTTGAAGCCAGGAGGCGGAGGTTGCCGTGAGCTGAGATCCCACCACTGCACTCCAGCCTGGGCGACAAGGCAAGACTCGGTCTCAAAAAAAAAAAAAAAAAAGCAGGTGTTACCATCATCTCTTCTATGGGTTAAATTTGCTTTAAGTCACATTCAACAGAAAACCCAACACTAGCTTAAGCAGACATGGGTTTATTTTTCTCTCTCAACAACAAGTTTGGAGATAGTACTACAAGATTGGTATGGCAGCTCTCCAATGTCACATGTGACCTGGTATCTTACATTAGGTTCTCCAGGATCAGATCCTGAGTTAAGGATTATGATAATATGATTTACTAAGGAAATGTTTCCAAGAAATTCTGATAAGGCAGTCAGGGCAGGGCAGGGCAAGGCAGGCAGGGACAAACAGGAATCTAAGTAAGAATGTGATCTCATGTTAAAGTGCTACACAGGGCAGATTCAGCATGAGCTCCATACCATAATTTTTGAATGAAATTTAAGATAGAAGTATTCTACCCAAGAACTGAGGAGTTGGGCTTTCAAAAGCCTTGTGAGGCTGGTGGGAGTAATGCAAACTCATAGACATTTTCATTTCTCTGTGCATGGGGGCAAAGCAGCATCAGTACCACAAAGACAATCCTTGTAAGAGCTGCCAGTGCTGGATATTGAAAGAATATGGAAGATGGTGGTGTTATGGATGTGTGGCACATGTGGAAATGGTATCAAATAATCCAATGTAAAGAGATCCAAGGGAATTTGGGCAGAGCACCAATATTGTCTGCTACACCAAGATTCTTTCATCTTTCCTGCCTGCCTGCCATTTTTTTTTCTTTTTTTTGAGATAGAGTCTTGCTTTGTCACCCAGGCTAGAGTGCAGTGGCGTGATCTCAGCTTACTACAACCTCCACCTCTCAGGTTCAAGTGATTTTCCTCCTCAGCCTCCCTTGTAGCTGGGATTACAGACATGCACTACCACCTTCGGCTAATTTTATATTTTTAGTAGAGACGGGTTTACCATGTTAGCCAGGCTGGTCTTGAACTCCTGACCTCAAGTGATCTGCCTGCCTCAGCTTCCCAAAATGTTGGAATTATAGGTGTGACCCTAACCCGGCCTCTGCTGCTGTTTTTAATGTGTAGGTCTTTGTCCCCATGCTCATCACCTTATGGTCAGAAGTTGGCTGCTCTGCATTCAGTGTCCTATCTATGGCTCAGGTAGGAAGAAAAGAAGGGGTAAAAGATGAAAAATGGCATGCCAGTCAAATATGCCTTCTTAAAATAAGTTTTTCGTAAACAATTATTCTGCTTACATTTTATTTACCAGAACTATGCCGAATGGTTATCCCATCTAGCTGTGTGGAAATCTGGGAAAGAGTGTATTTTTAGTTGTGTGCACTGTTGTCTGATAAAAATATGAGGGTCTTTGGTAAAGCAGTAGTGGTGATGGTTGTGGATATTAGGTAGATAATTACAGTATTTGGTACTGCCTATTTACAGAGGAGAAATAGATATCGAGAGAGGTTACTTACCTTGTCAAAGTTGCACAGCCTCTAGAGTAGCAAACCAACCGTGTTCTTAATATACTGGACATTGATTCACGCAATCTCTTTGTGGGAGCATCCTCTGTGCTAGGGATTGTAATTAAACTTGAACAAGTATTTCATCTTTGTATTAGTCAGGGTTCTCCAGAGGAGAGAACCAGGTTACACACGCACACACACGCACAATTTTATATATATATACACACATGCACACACGTGAGTTTATTAAGGAGAACTGTCTCACATGATTACAAGGTGAAGTCCCCAAATAGGCCATCTACAAGTTGGGGAAAAAGAGAAGCTGGTAGAGTGGCTCAGTCCAAGTCTGAAAACCTCAAATCCAGGGAGGGTGACAGTGTGGGCCTCAGTCTGAGGACGAAGGCCCAAGACCCCCTGGGAGGCCATTGGTGCAAGTCTCAGAGTCCCAAAGCTGAAGAACCTAGAGTCTGATGTCCAAGGACAGGAGAAGAGGAAGCAAGTGCCCGGAAAGGGAAGAGAGAGTGAGAAGACTAAGCAAGCAAGTTTATCACCCTTTCTTCCATCTACCTTGTTCTAGTTGTGCTGGTAGATGACTGAATGAGGCCCACCCACATTGAGGGTGGTTCTTCCTTTCCCAGTCCATTGACTCAAAAGTCATTCTTGGCAGGCTGTGGTGGCTCAGCCTGTAATCTCAGCATTTTGGGAGGCCAGGGCGGGTGAATCGCTTGAGCCCAGGAGTTTGAGACGAGGCTGCGCAACATAGTGAAACCCTGGGTCTACAAAAAAAATACAAATATTAGGTGGATGTGGAGGCACGTGCCTGTAGTCCCAGATACCTGGGAGGCTGAGATGGAATGATTGCTTGAACCTGGGAGGCTGAGGTTGCAGTGAGCCAAGATTGCTCAACTGCACTTCATCCTAGGTGACAGAGTGAGAATCTGTCTCAAAAACAAACATGTCAGTCTCCTTTGGCAACACATACCCAGAAACAATGCTTTATCAGCCATCTAGGCATACCTCAATCCAGTCAAGTTGATACCTAATATTAACCATCACAGTCATCTTGGCACTTCAGTAGGAAATAATTCATTGATTCTCTCTCTACCAACTTGCATTCACTTTCTTTTCTTGATTTATTTCCTCAGATTCCTAAGTCTTTATACCCAATCCTGACCACTAAAGGGGTTGAAACAACTGAATTTACCCCTTTTACTTAAGATCTTCATGAGGAACCTGCATAACATGTCCTTGAGAATGGATATAAGAATAGATCAGAGTGGGTGTTAGGGAATGGGGATAGGCAATTCAGTTTTATTTCTTTCCCGGATGACAAACCCACACTAATCTTTCTCATCTTTGTACAACTGTACTGCAGAGCTGGAGTTATAATACATATGGTAGATGTTTTAATTTCCATGTGAACAAGGAGGATGGCTTAGGTTTCTTTTGTGCTGTCACGGTGCCTAGCAAAGTCCCGTACATATGGTACCTATCTGATGTATACCTGCTAGAAGATGAAATTTCAGGGCTGAATAGGCTTATACTTGAGGGGAGAAGGAGTTTTGGGACAAGCCTACTACTCCAACCCCCACCGGAGTACAGCAGTTGATGATTTCTTTTTTTTTTTAAATTAATTTATTTTTTAATTTTTGTTTTAGTTTTGAGGGTACATGTAAAGGTTTGTTACACAGGTAAACTCATGTCATGGGAGTTTGTTGTACTGGTTATTTCATCACCCAGGAATTAAGCTCAGTACCCAGTAGTTATCTTTTCTGTTCAACTTCCTCCTCCCACCCTCTACCCTCAGGTAGACCCCAGTGTCTGTTGTTTCCTTCTTTTTATTCATAAGTTCATAATGACCTCCAGCTCCATTCATATTCCCACAAAAGACATGATCTTGTTCTTTTTTATGACCGCATAGTAGTCTAGTGTATGTAAGTACCACATTTTCTTTATCCAGTCTGTCTCTGATGGACATTTAGGTTGATTTCATGTCTTTGCTATTGCGAATAGTGCTGCAGTGAGCATTTGTATGCATGTATGTTTATGGTAGAACAATTTGTATTCCTATTCCTCTGGGTATATACCCAGTAATGGGATTGCTGCTGAAGATATCCATCCATCATGAAATTTCTCAGCACAAGGCACAAAGATTGAAATTATGATTTGGCTTATTTTGTTCTGCAGAAGTGGAGATTATAAATAAATTGTCTTAGGTTTAAATCAAGCTGCTGTTTTTTAATTAGATTGGCAATTTTATTTCCAAATTACCCCTGAATCTCGACTCTTACTTATTTCTTCCCAATTCTAAGTCATTTTACTCATTCAAATAAAATTTTCTTGACAATATTTCAAGATATTCAGTAAATACATAAAACCTAAAGAACATAAATAAAATGAGGAAAAAGTAAGTTTTGGCAAAGTTATCCTTTCTGATACAATGAAATGAATAAATTCTTTCCAGTAATGTGCATTTGGACCATCAAAACACATGCAGGTAAGTGACAAAAATGCCACCACACATATGAATATTTTAATTAAATTACACTGACTATAATGATGGTGGAAATTATTTTTTTAAAAAGGAAAATTAAACACAGAAAATAAATGAGCTGAGTTGAAAATTATTTTAATAAGGAGTCAGGATTATCAGACCAAGGTTCTGATACAGGTACATGTTGGCTGTTTGATCCTAAGTAAAAGTCACTAAACACCTTTGTGCTACCCACTAGGATGGGCACTGACTGTACAAAGGTGAAAAAGACACAATCTCTTCTCTTGAAACTATTACTTAGCTATGTATCACCAAAATTACCAGGTAATGACCTACCCCAGATACCAACATTGGTAGATTAGAGTATGCTTACTTTCAGTTAAGAATTTCAGAATATTGAGTCATCGTATGATAAAATCATTATAGTCTCACGTACTTTTGGAAAATATACTTTATTCAAGAATATAAACAAAGTAGTAGATATATTTGGCTATTTAATAATCATTTTAAGTTTGTCATACAGAAGCACATATCAATAATGTTTTTCAGAAGGGAAACATATTCTGCTTTTATTTTTATCTCTCTGGTAACAATTATTGACAAAACAATGAAGCAAAGATATATTGTTTTACAATTGTAATGCCCGTGTACAGTAATTCTCAGTCTTTTTTATATTCTACCAGCTCTTACATCTAATAGGTCTCAATAAATTAGAAATGTAAAAGTACATACTTTCAGAAAAGGTCATATTTCATAAATATTTTATTACTATGTTAGTCATTTATCATAAGTATTAAGTCTAAGAAAAATTATAATAGAAATTGCTAAGACTTTAAAATAAACAAAAACTATTCCTTTAGTAGTTAAAAATGTTATTATGTAGTTGAGTATAAATTTCATTGCTCTGGTGACAGTAAAACACAAAGATGTTTAACAAAAAATATCGCCATTCATAGGTTTATCTAAAATTCTGCAACAGACAGAGAAGAATAAAAGTTTTGGCATCCAGAGGTCAGGTGATACAGAAATGAAGTTCTGGGGGGTGCAAAAGATATATCAAGGACGTGGTGGTTAAAAGAGATGAAAAGAGACAGACGTCAAATGAATATTCCACAATAAGCAGGGTTATCAGGAAGCTGGACAACAGAAAGACTTGTGCACGTGGGAAACAAGGATTAGAAGCAACTTTGCCTAATGCGGCAGTGAGTATATCAAAAGACATAGATCCCTGGGAGCCAGGGTCAGAAGGGATGGTAGGCCATGGACATGAGGGACAGTCAGTTACTGAAAGTTTAATGTTAATTCGGTGTCTCATCTAGGCTCTGGTAGGTTAGAGGATTTCTGGCCTTACCATGGTAGCTGGATTATATGGCACCTGGATGCTCTAAAACATGTTGTGGCTCAGTACTTTTTTTTTTCTTTTTTAAAGTTTTGGTGTGTTAGGTATTCCCAATAAATGAAATTTTGCGTCTGAACTAAAATTTACTTCACTTCCTAATGTAAGAATGTCTTGCTTAAAGTAAACTCAACATATAAAAATCAGAATTTAAAAAATTAATTAGAGATGAAGTTATTCACTTTACAAATATTGGATTTATTTTTCTTAATTTTTCAATTATCTTTACTTTTTCATACATTTATGTTATCCTGCCTTGGCATGTGGGCCTTTGAAGTTCCATATCCCCTTACAGTAAAGGAGAGCTGATCTGAGTGTTGCCTAAGACATCTACAAAAAAACTTGACATTTTATTCCAGTTGAAAAAATGATAATTCTAAGAAGCATCTGGTCTTCCTTTTACTAGCAGCTCTAGTGTTTGAGCCTATTGTTTGGAACTGGGGAAAATTATTTCTCTAAGTAGCTCTTTAAAATGGATCCCTGCCTGCAGAGAGACTTGAACTCTGGCTCTTGCCCTCCTCAGTGGTCTTAGCTCTAAATGTGAAGTTCTTTCTGGACTGAAAGTAAAAAAAAGTAAAGTTCAGACTGTACTCTAGAATGTTGACAGTTTCTTTACCAATATCCTATTTAGTATACTGATACTTGTATTGAATATGCAGTTTTACAGAGGGAAATTTAAAAAAGGATTAGAAAAAATATTTTTATACATAATAAGTAAAACATTCCACAGCATGCTAAGCACTCTTCATTTCCCTTAGGTGTCACCTGTCTCTTTATCTTTCATCCCTTCTCCAGTGGTAGCATTTGGGTACCCAACCCAAGACCCACAAGTTTCCATCAACTAAGTTTTAGAGAGCTTAAACAAGATATTTTCACACAAATTCTCAGAACAGTCTACTTTAATCAGAGTAAGATGATTATCCTTTACACCTATAAACACTCCAGGATCAGTCTTGCATTCAAATGAAACACAGTTGTAGGGCATATTATGAAGGATAAAGAAGGCTTGGTCTGGCAGTAGTTTTTCACACTTATGGAGCTGAGGAAACGAGAGAAAGAAATCCATATGTGAATGGGAAGTTCAGAGTCAACTTAACCTGTCCGTATTGGAAACTAAAGGGGAATACTTATTTATGACTTGATATTTCTAGCAAGTTCGCTTAGTCGGTAGTGGAGAGAAGAGGGGAGAAGTGAATAGAGGGGTGGGGGTGGTTTTGATCTGACTCACTGACAGTTGATAGAGAGGCAGCATGGATTAGGGTGACTGGATCTGGATGCAGTAGTTTTGGATTTGTACCCTACTTTTGACATATACTATCTCTGAGACCTTGGGCATGTTGCTTTATCTCTCAAGCCTCATTTTTTAAGTCTAGCCAGTTTTTTAGATCAGTCAATCGCCAAAATACCTACAGATGTATAAGTAAATATAAATGATTATTATTTTGAGGCACTAAGCTTTGGAATGATTTGTTACACAGCAACATTTGAGCAATACAACAACTCCATTGTAGAGTTACTGTATTAAATAAAATAATACTTGCGAAACATTTAGCACAATGCTTGCTACATAATAGAGCTCGGTCTAAGTAGCCCTATTATTGAGTAGTTTTACATGCCAAACACTAGATTATATATGCTTAGGAATGTTTTGGTTAGGAAGATGCTGGTTACCATCCACCGTTTATGTTAATAAGGACTTACATGGTTGCGTTAGCTTTATAATTTTGTGTATTTATATAATTTATCTTCTATATTATGTTCTTCTGTTTTCTTCCATGCCTCTACCTTTGGCTGGTTTGTCAAGATAATTATAATTACACATCATGACCCATATAATAATGCCATTTACTAACTAAAGAGTGTGCAATGAATCCTATGTTCAGAATGTAGATGTTAGGTTATTTATAAATCTTGGCACACGGAAATGCTTATGACTTCTCTTAAGCAGGCTCAGAGTGGAAAATTTTTTTCTATTTCTTTAAGAAAATGATGTTACACAAAGAAATGTTTCCTAGAGGAACATAGTAGTTCCTAAGGCCAAACAGAAAGGATTTGAGATCATACTATATAACAGTGCTTCTCAAACTTTAAGGCACATATGAATTTCCTGGAGATTTCTTAAAATGCAGAATCCAATTTATTTCTGGGGGCCTGGAATCCGGTATTTCTAACAACCTCCCAGATGATGCTGTACTGCTGGTGGAGAGCAGATTTTCAGTAGTAAAGTCATATATGCCACTTTCCTCCCTTCCTTACCCTAGAAGCAAGTCATTTGTAGTAAGTGATTGTGCTTTATGTACAACAGGAAAAAAAAAAACTTCTTCTGCAAAATACCCCAACACCCAAATCTAAACACATGGGTAGAGTCATTCATGACAGTTCCATAATCATATATGTATATTTACCTCCACAGAGCACTCCTTGTTGTTGGCATGCAACCAGAAGTCTTTCATAGGACTCAGGGCTACCATTAACATCTTACCATCAACGCCATCACCTTACAATTAAGAAGTTATAAATGATAAAGTTAAGAACTGTAGCTCATCTTGATTTAAATGAATTTAATACAGGAAAAGAGTCTAAGATGTTACATAACATAATTACTTCATTCGCTAACAGGTCTCTTAGAAATATTTGAACCCAAATTCAAGAGTCACTCATAAGTAGAGGGTACTTATAAACCAGAGATAAATTAGTTTTCTTATATGCTTTTTAACTGGAGAATTGTGACCCTAATGGATACTTCTCTGGGCATCAGCTTTCCTTTCTGCATGTAAAGCCATAGTGTCCCCCAATATTTACTCCTCTTTTGGAATAGTAATAGGAGATTCCCCAGCTTGCTTTCTTATGGCTTAGTATTACAACTGAGTTCTGACCAATGTGAGATGAGAGGAAGTGTTAGGTGCAACATCTAGGTTGTACCCTTAAAGGGAAATAAAATGCATGCATCTGTTTTTCTCTGTCCTGATAACCGGGCATTGTCACATTCCTAAGTACTCTCGAACCACATAGATGTTGGCAGAACCACAAGATAGAAGGAGATGGTCCCTGGACAACTTGTTGAGCAGAACTCCCATTTCAGCCCTGGTTAAGACAAAAAGTTTTCTCTAGCATAAGCCAGTCTTGTTTTGGATCTCTATTAAGTGTAGCTAAAACTTTACCCTAACGATTAAGCTGTAAAATGGATGGGAATACATCCTCTGAGAATCTAAGTTTTACCATGAGCTTGGGTTGTAGATAACCTTCTGTGACTATCTTCTTTTCCCATCGGGTATTTTGGATTTATCTTTACCCCATACTTAATATTTCAAGCACTATAGCTACCCAGCCCTCCAAATTACCTGATTCATTTGATGAGCGTTGAGACTCGTAATAACTCAGTAACACTTTGGCTGAAAGAGGAGGCATAAAATCCCTCTGGTGAGATACAGTTTTATTAAGTTTTCAGTTCTAACACATACATACCATCAGAAAAATCCTCCCCTTTTATTACATATCAATAAAAGCAAAACTTATGTGCTTTTGAGAAAGGTCTCAAAAATGCATGAATATGCTCTGATGAATTCTCCAATATAGTTGCTATTAAAATATTTAAAATATTTTTCATAGTATTGGCATAAAGGTTGTACTTTGGTGATATTATTAAAACTAGAAAGATCTAGTGTATAATTTAGAGATAGCAAATACTGTGGTCCCTTTTTCTGTCTTTCGTAGTAGATACCACATTTCAATGTCAGCGTTCTTCTCTGATGAACCTGATGAAACTTCTGAATCCTTCTTAACACAGAAGTGGATTCAGGCATCCACTACCAATGCATTAGAGTTAGCACACAGTGTGACCTGTTTGCCATGTCTAACTTAATCCACTGTTTAAAGTTTGGTAGATTTAGTTTTATTAAGATGTTTTACTTCTATTAGTCATTATTATATCATTATAGAAAAAGAAAATATTCTACCTTTTTCTTCATCTTTTTTCAAGTCTTCAACATATATCTCATAACTTTCATCCTCCAAAGCAAAAATAATGGATTGATCATTGTATGTGCTTAGGGAAGCAAGAGATTCTGTAATAGGTGAAATTCCTGTTGTTAAGAATTCAAAAACTTGTCAGGCACAATTCTTTTGGCAACCTTTTTAAAAAATGCTCAAAAAACATCTTTGCAATTTGAGTTGCATTTTGTATGTCACTGTTGGGTAGATGAAAGCCTTTTGCAGAAGCTTTACATAGCTCAAAATCTGAGATGTGACCCTTGAAAGGGATTAAAGATACTAGTTTCCTGCACGAAGGCCCTGGGAGGCTGTATGAGTGTACTTTTGGGAGGGTTTGGTGGGAAAAAGATGATGGAAAGTAACAGACATTGTCTGAGGAAACTTTCACTTTATGACACCCCTTGGTCTGAGGACCGTGGTAAAGAAGGGACTGTATTTTGATAGACATGGATAAATAAATGTTTATCTATAAAGTATGGAGTTACCCAGAAGTTTCTGACAGTCTTGGAGAATGCAGGTATGAGGCCTATTCTCTCCTCTGGCTAAATAACAGGGACACTTAGTGCAGTGCTCCCAAATTTTAAGAAGTGTCAAAATATAAATAGAAAATGATAATATTTTTGTAGCCTGCTGAAGTAAACTGGAGCAGATTTAGGGACTACCTACATGGGGCCTGGAAAAAAATATGATACAAAATATTAAGGAGAATGTTACATACTGAATTTGTACATGAACTTCTAAAGTAAATGATTTAGAAATACTTAATGAGAAACTTCAGTGTTGCTTCTGGGAATTTAGGACATTTATAGCAGGAATAATGCTTGAAATGGCAACTGCAAGTTCCAGGTAAAGTTTTTTTTTTTTTTTTCTTGTTTCTGAGATGGAGTCTCACTCTTGTTGCCCAGGCTAGGGTGCCCTGGCATAATCTCGAGTCACGGCAATGTTTGCCAGGGTTCAAGTGATTCACATGCCTCAGACTCACAAGTAGCTGGGATTACAGGTGCATACCACCATGACCGGCTAATTTTTGTATTTTTAGTAGAGACAAGATTTTGCCATGTTGGCCAGGCTGGTGTCAAACTCCTGACCTCAGGAGATCCGCCCGCCTCGGACTCCCAAAGTGCTGGGATTACAGGCATGAGCCACCACACCTGGCCAAGTTTTTTTTAAATGATGATCTCTTCACCTCTTGATAGTCACCATCACCTTGGGACCTTGTACAAGGACGTGATAAAATTTAAAACCATCTGAACTACTACTTAAAATGTATAAAGTGTTGGAATTATATTTAAAAATATAATAGTTCTTTTCTTTCATGGTCAAACTGTTGAAATTTGGTGGGGGAGACATGAGTTTTGTTCCCAAAGAATAATATATTTTCACCAAAACTAATGACTATGAGATTCCAATCCATAGCAACCATTTCACGATAATGATGGAGTGCTAACTAGAGAATGCATGTGCATTATTAGATCAGCTGCCTTGCCTTGTTGGATGGACACATCAGTTGCAAATGGGCAGAAGTTTCTGGTACATGCTAAAGACATAGATTTGGGACTGCTACCTGGAATAGCACTTTCCAGGGTCCTGTGTCATACCTCCCTCCTCACTCCCACATCACCTCTGTAACCAGTCATACCTGGGATACTTGCAGCATGAAGTGCTTTAGCATATTTCGGGACCACTGATATATCAAAGGCAAAGCACTTCATGGTAGATTGCTGTTGACAGGCAGTGAGTACCAGGTGTTCTTTGTGCTTTCCACCTGCAGACCAGATGGGGTTAGGAGTGGACTGTCAATCCCCACTTTGCACAAACATTCCTTTGAAGATTCCCAGTTAAGGCTGCTTGCTGAGAGTAGTGATTGACTGCAGGGCTTTGGCCACCCCATAGTCCAAAGGGATCAATACCTCCTGGTACCCCTTATACCTCAGTAGGGCACACTTGTCAGAGATCAGGAGGAAGAAAACTAGTCACCCAGAGTCTCAACACCCAAAAGGCAAACACTATTAACACTTAAACCTACCTCCTTTAAATTAAAAAAAAAAAAAAAAACTTAAAAATATTGTGAACATATTTACATATAATGTTGTATCTTCTGTTTTCACTTAACATTATAGCATAACCATTTCTGTCATGCTATTGAAAATTCTTTATATGCCCTTTTAAAAATAGCTAAAAAGCAGTTCATCATCCTATTTTCCAAAAAGAATCTTGAAGTGAGGAAAAGTAATTGCATATTTAAATGTGGTAAGTGAAGGCAAATAGACACCTATCATTATTGCCAGAGAATGTACAGTTCCTCTTACCTGTTTTCAGTGAAGGTCTTTTGGTGGTTTCTCTCATAAAGTCACAGGCCTCCTTTTTTATTGTAAGGCCAGAGCGGAGCTTCATAAAGTACGCATGGCAAACTTCTTTGGCCTTCTGTTTGGATTCTAAACAATTGAAAAACTTGTGAGACTGTTTCATTACATTCATCTTTATCCTTTTACAAACCCTGAGTGTAGCAGACCAAGAAAGCAAGTACAGGTTCACCATATCTTATCAGAAACCCTTGAGGCCAGCTGTGTTTCAAAATTCCAAGTTTTTTAGATTTTAGGATTGTAATGTAGAACATATAACTATACATACGTAGCATCCCAGAAGGGAGATTAATTTTTTAAATCTCAAAATCAAGATTAATTAATTTTATATTGAAACATAGGAAAATTTACACAAAGTGAAATAAAGACCTCATGTTAGTTCACATCAGGAGTTAACTGAGAAATGAGTTTAGGTTGTATTTTGCTGCCAAATAAGTTCTGAAAAACTTTGGGTCGTTAGAAAAAAATTTTGGTTTTCAGAATTCCATATGAGGGAATGTGAACCTATATCCAACATATATCAATCTTTGCCTAATTGAGGGGGATCTTTTACTCATACGAAATGTGCAATCTCTTCTCCTTATCTAGAATACACTTTTAATAATTTTGGAGGGATGGCTGAAGTCTACAAAGGTTATTAATAATAAAATAACTACCATTTATTAAGTGTCTATAGTGGGCCAAACACTGTGCTAATAATTTTACCCAGAAATTCTTCATCATAATGTTACAAGATAGGCATTATTGTCCCAAATTTACAGACGATAATCTGAGGCTCTCAGGAGTCATGACACTTGCCCAACATTACAGGGCTGGTGAGAAGTTGTGACTGAAGTGTGTCTAAAATCAAGCCTATTCTTTCCATTACCATCCACTTACCACTGTCTAAGAAAATGCTACACTACAATTTGAGGGACTAACAAAATGCACATTCAAATTAGTCAAAGTAAAAAAGTTATTATTCAGTAATTGTTTCATTTTGCTAAAGGAAAATCTAAGTCTCAAAAAGAAAATTAAATTTGCTACCTGGAAAATCATAAAAAGCCTTTCAGAATCAGTTAGAAAAGAAAATTGTAACACATGAGTCATAGGATCTCAATTTTTAACATTATGTAGTAAATGAATTATCAAGCAATTTATACAATGAAGTCAAATTTCAATTAGTCACAGTAATTCAGAAAATTAATTATTTGTGACTTTGGGATCCATTTTATGAATTAAAAAAAAACTCTCCAGAGGATTTGCCTTCCTAAAATAATGCTTTTTAAAGATAAGTGGGACACTTTTGTTAGCTATTATTTTGAATTATCCACATCTTGCTTCCAATTCAGATGAGTAGGTACCTTTATCTCCAACTGATTTAACAAGGGAAGACCACTTAATTATATTTACGTACGCTCTGGAACTCTCTACCGTTGATTCACAGTTCTGAAATATCAACTGTGGTATCTTGCATTTATACTGTAGTGCTTTTACACTTACAAAGGTATTTCACAAAGAAAACTAGTGCCAGAGCCAGCATTGTACTTGTTCTCCTCGCAAGTAATTTAACACAATACTTTATTGAGTATTGTTAATTTGTTTTCTGCCACTATCACAGAATATTACAGACTTGGTAATCTATAAAGAAATGTATTGGCCAGGTGCTGTGCTCACACCTGTAATCCCAGCCCTTTGGGAGGTTGAGGCGAGAAGATTGCTTGAGGCCAGCTGTTTAAGACCAGCATGGGCAACAAAAAATTAAGCCTCTGTCCCTACAAAAAGTTAAAAAAAAAAAAAATAGCTGGGCATGGTGACCTGCTCCTATAGTCTCAGCAAGTTGGGAGGCTGAGATCAAAGGACTGCTTGAGCCTGGGAGTTTGAGGCTGTAGTGAGCTATAATCAGGCACTGCACTCCAGCCTAGGTGAGAGAGTGCACCCTTGTCTCTAAAAAAAGAAAAAAAGAGAGAAATTTATTTCTTACACTTCTAGAGGCAGGCAAATTCAAGGATATTATGCTGGCATCTGGTAAGGATAATCTGATGGTGGAAGGCAGCATTGAGTATGAGAGACAGAGAGGAAATCCGGTGAACTCACTTTTATAACAAGCCTGGTCTCTTGATAACCAAACCATTTCCATGATAACAGCAGTAATCTGTTCATGATGATAGAATTCTCATGACCTAATTACATCTTAAAGATCTGACCTCTAAACACTGTTACAATAGTGATTAAATTTTAACATGTGTTTTAGTGGAAACATTCAAACCATAGCAACTATACCATATTGTCTTTTCAGAGCTAAGAGGCATAAGATGATAACTGAAAGCATGCTCACTCCTTATATTCTTTATATTGTAGTCAGCATCACATGGGAACATGATAGGCATATCTAATACTGAGTGTGGACTCTGTGGGGAACAGGATATCAGTCTTGGGTAGTTAAAAGTGAGGATCACAATATTGAGGAAGTACTGAGGTTATAGAAGCCCTTAGGAGATAAGAAGAGAGTTAAAGATATAGGTGAGGGGGACAGCATTTAGTAGGACAAACACTGGGTATTGTTCAAGGATGGGGGTTACTACATTTGAAGTATTGAAAACACTTTGCATCAGAATTTTGAAGAACATATGCTTTGGTGTTCTGGGCAGCTGAAAGTGTGAGGGTTGTCTTCTGGAGAGGAAAGTGCAAAGGTGGCATGGGCATGTGGAGTCTGCAGGAGAGAGCATTCCACTTGGGTCAAAGAGCCAGCTCAAATGTATGTAAGGGCTGCTACCACTTTCTATGTCTCTATCCTGCCTGCTCCCTCAGGGCAATGGCTTACTACAAATTTTAAGAAAATTCTCATAGCTTATTTCATCATAACAGCAACATGAATCCCTCAGGGATTTCTGCTGAGTAAATGGGAAGGGGCCTGGAAATCTTTCCATAATTCTGCCACTCAGAGAACCAGACTATGGCTGATAGAAATCACAGAGGTGAATCACTCCATGTTTCATTTCTTCCCCAAGCATGGATTTTACCAACGTCTCTTCTTACTGCTTACTACCCTTAACCTGTCTGTGGCATTGGACTCTCAGGACTACTTCTTTCTTTGAATCCCTCTTTCCTTATGCCATGTCACCAGTTTCCCTAGGTTCTTCTTGTTTCTCTCTTACTAGTGCACCTTGTCTCTTTGTTAGCTATTCTTCTTCTGTCTGCTCATAAATGTTGGTGTTCCTCAGGGTTTTGTCTTTCTCTTCTTCTGTCACTCAGCTTTCTTCCTGGACAATCATGCTTGCTCCAATGACTTCGATCACCTTTTTAGAGGCGGATGACTCCTCAAACTGTAACTCTACCTTTGGTCTTTTTCCTGAGCTTTCTATCTGTTGTTCTTTCTCCACAAGGCATTTTGACCCAGCTACCTTAACGCATCGCTGTCTCTTTCTGTGTATATCTTTCTGAATTCTGGACATCTCTATCTGGGTGACCTGCAGCTACCTAAAATTAAAATATACTGGTCTTAGTCTGTTTTCTGTTGCCAAAACAGAATATAATGAACTGGGTAATTTATAAAGAAAAGCGTTTTATTTGGTTTCTGGTTCTGGAGGTTAGGAAATCCAAGATCAAGGGGCTGCATCTGATGAGGGCCTTCTTGTCATGTCATCACATGGTGGGAGGCGTCACATGCTGAAAGATGTCACGTGAGACAATGAAAGGATGGTGGCTGAACTTCATCAATTTTATCAGAAACCCAATCCTGCAATAACTAACCCACTCCCATGACAATGGCATTAATCCATTCATGAGGGCAGAGCCCTTATAATCTAATCGCCTCTTAAAGGTCCTACCTCTTAATATTATCACAATGGCAAATTTCAACATGAGTTTTGGAGGGAATATTCAAACCATGGCAGTACTTATAATAAAAATTTCTTTATCTTTTTCTACCTCGATATATTTCTCCTGAATTACCTATCTTGAAAAATAACTCTCTATCATTATCTACCCAATTCTTAAATAAAAAAGCTGAGAATCATTCATTTTTCCTTCTTTCCATTCTTACAATTTATTCAATCTGTCATTAAGTCTTATTGATTTCACCTTCTGAATATATCTGAAATCTAGTCCGTCCTCTCTATTCTGTTGTCTTAGGTCGTGCCTTCATCATTAGTACCCTGGATGAATGTGGTAGACCTCTAATCAGTTTCTGTTTCTACTCTTGCCTCCTCACTTTATCATCACATAACTATCATCACACTTCACCAATGTGATCTCTGTAAAGTAAAAATATTTTATCATTCCTCAGTTCAACATTTTCAGTGATTCCCTACTGTCTACAGGATAAAGTCAAATCTCCTTTAGTATAACAGAAAATCTTCTACGGGTAGACTCACACTAAAGGAGTTGATCTCTAATCAGTTCTAGCCAACTACTGCCATGCAAGATATGGATCCAGTGTTTCTAGATCTTTGGGTTTTTTGAGAGAAACTATATACATTTAGATTTTCATTAAAAATAAACTAATTTTAAGAAAATTGACTCAGTTAGGAACATCAATAACACAATTAAGTCCTAATAAAATACTCCTGCTTGATGGATCTGTCTCAAGGGTCCCATGTTGTGACCTCTGGCTAGATCCATGAGTGAAGGTGGCTGAATTTTTAGGGAGGAGAAAGTGTTGACGGATGTAGGGGAGAGAAAGTAGGAGAAAAGAAAACCCTGACCCTGGGAAGTAGCTTCCTGGAAATTGGTAAGGGACAAGTTGTGAGAGAAGCTTTCCTTCAGGTCAAGAAGTCCTGCACCCTGTTGGCATTAGAAGCAAAATGCCCTGGGAGTGACCACACTCATGTGGGACTGACTGTGGTGATACTTGCAGTGGTTGGCTACTATGTTTTGTGGCATTGTGAACTGTGTCTTGTGTTAGATCCTGGTAGCTCAAGATAAGAGAAGGAATTAAATGTGCTTTCTTGCCTTGTTTCTTGGGATCTTAGAGCAGAAGCTTATTTAGAAAAACAAGATATGACATATCTTGCATTCTGAGTTGAGAAGTGGTTTACACCTGTCATATACCCCAGAGATATCTGTCGAATTTTTCACCAGGATTGTTTAAATCATGACAGTTTTAATGCAGTAGCTCTATCTCCTCTGCCTCCATCTGTGGGTTTGCTTTCTATGATTTCAGTTACCCGCAGTGAAATACAGTAAGAAATTTTGAGAAAGAGAAAGAGAGAGAGAGAGCGCAGATATTCACATTACTTTCATTACAGCACATTATTCTAATTGCTCTACTTTTTTATTAGTTGTTATTGTTAATTTCTTCCTGGTCCTAACTTATAAATTAAACGTTATCATAGTTATGTATCTGCAGGAAAAAAACATAGTATATATAGGATTCGGTACTATCCACAGTTTCTTGGTACATATTCCCTGCAAATAAGAGGGGAGTACAATATTAAACTGAGCCAATATTATTGGAAAGAAAGATCTGCTGAGGCACAATTAAAATAATGTGATGTGCACACTGGGGGCCTGTTGTGGGATGGGGAGCTAGGGGAGAGATAGCAGGGGTAGGGAGATTGGAAAGGGATAGCATGAGGAGAAATATCTAATGGAGATGACAGGGGGATGGATGCAGCAAACCACCATGGCACATGTATACCTATGTAACAAACCTGCATGTTCTGCACATGTACCCCAGAACTTAAAGTGTAATAAAAAATGTGATGTGGAGATTATTTTTGTCACTGTGCTCTAAATGGCATAGATAAGTAGTTAGGACCATTGTTCCCTTAAAGGAGGGGTATCATTTTAACTTTTGTATCAACGCCACCAACTCTGGCATAAACTCTAGCCCACTTTCATTCCAGTGTCTATAAAGAGCTGGCATTTCCTGAGATACAAAGAAAATGCATTCTTTATTGAGAGGCAATTTAGGAATGTAAAGTCACTGAGTCACTGTTTCTACGGAGAGCATTTTGACTCAGCTACAAATAAAAGGATTAATTTAGCTGTGATTTCCTGGTTGTTCAGAAACCATAGTCAAATTAGTGCTTTCTCTGGTCACCAAAGAACAGTGTGGGTGGGCCAGAGCCTCGGGGAAGACAGAATGAGACAGAGATGATATTAACACTGCTTTCTCTTCTAGCCTTAAAGATGTACAGAGAAATGGAAAGGAGCATGAAGGACAAGGATATGCCAGTCCCTCCCACCATCATTCCTTATCCTCCATTTTCTTTCCCATGTGCCAGGACTCTGTTTACTTTATTTTGTGTTACTGCTCCCATATGAAAAACATGATTCTAAAATTGAATGCTTCCTGCCAGGTGCAGTGGTTCATGCCTGTAATCCCAGAACTTTGGGAGGCTGAGGTGGGTGGATCACTTGAGATCAGGAATTGAAGTCCAGCCTGGCCAACATGGTAAAACCCCATGTTGACCAAAAATATAAAACATTAGCCAGGCATGGTGGTGTGTGCTTGTAATTCCAGCTACTTGGGAGGCTGAGGCAGGAGAATCACTTGAACCTGGAAGGCAGAGGTTTCAGTGAGCTGAGATTGCGCCACTGCACTTTACCCTAGGAGACAAAGTGAGACTGTCTCAAAAGAAAAAAAGTAAAAATAAATAAATAAATTTGCATACTTCCTTCCTAGGACAGACAATTTTAAGGATCAAAAAGTTAAACAGCCCTTTAATCTCAAAGCTATAACTGCCATCTGACTTTATTTACCTTCCATCTTATTACAAACTCTGAGTTTGCAGCTAGATAGACTTGAGCATTATTTGTTGTTTCTGCTTTATTTCTATGGTTTGGCTTTGGCTGATTTGGTCCCACCAAGTCTCTTGTTGAAATATGATCCCCAATGTTAGGGGTGGGGCCTTGTGGGAGGTATTTGGATCGTGGGGTGGATCCCTCATGAACAGCTTGGTGCCATTCTCACAATAGTGAATTCTCACTCTTAGTTTGCAAGATGACTGGTTGTTGAAAAAAGATTGGTCCCTCCTCTCCTGTTTCTCCTGCTTCTTTTCTCTCCGTATATGACCTCTGCACATACTGGTTTCCCTTCCCTTTCCATCATGAGCAGAAGCAGCCTAAAGCCCTCACCAGAAGCAGATGCTAGCACCATGCTTCTTGTACAGCCTGCAAAACTGTAAGCCAAATAAACCCTCTTTTGCCTTTTCCCATTTGCCCAGAGAATAATTGCTGGCAGCGCTTACAACTGTGGTGTTTACTCTAAGACAACTTTGCCACGAAAGATCCCACTTTTATTATTATTTTTACATCTCTCTAGTATATCAACTTTGGAAACAAAAGACGTCTTTCTATTTAGTATTCTGCTTTTAGTAGTGGTGGTTATTTTCATTTATAAAATATAGTAATTTTTGATTGCTGAAAGTGTCAAATCCTAGAAAATGTAGCATTCCTACTTGTGATATTAACATTTTTGAACAGTTCTTTAACAGTTGTTGGCTGAAATTTCATTTAATGAATCTGATTTTTTTTCCGAAATAGACAATGCTGATGGTAGTTCTGTTTAAATAACTCCAAGAACAGTTTTTATATTCTATTTCTGCACTGAAAATCACATTTGCTTTGGCCTCGAAGAGATATTTATGTAAAATTAAAATAAGCACTGGCAGCAAGCTTTGCCTTTTTTTTTTTTCTAAATGGGAAAAGGGTTAAATTACCCAGCCTCGGGTATATTTTTATGGCAACACAGATGGACTGAGATGATTAGTCAAATATCTTCACTTGTTACTCTCTTCATCAGTAGCGGCAAGTCAAGACCACATGCCTGATACCACCAAAGGTCTTAATGAATGTTTGTTGAATGAAAGTGGATCTGCTTAAAACTTTGTCAGTTTATCAGGGAAAGGTTTTGGGGATTTGGTGGCAGAAGGTATGTGAAACAAGAAATCGTTGATATAAAAGGCTATAATCAAGTTTATCACTACTCACAGGTTCAGATGATCTCAGCTGTTTCTGCCCTGTGATGTGTTAAACATGCCAAATTGGTTATATATGGTCTATTTAAAGCCAGTCTGCTGCATTATACCCTTATGTGTCATTCCTTTTGATTTCAGTTCTTGTATTCTTAGATTTTGATCAGATAGCATTATAAACATTGGAATAGTAAAGATTTGATAACCGATAAAAATAGTGTGTAAAACGTTCAGAGATACTTAAGTCCTTACTTCCCAGTTTGAAACACAGGGCTTTGCTTGCTGTGTTCTTCCGCTTGGCTGTGGAAATTCTGTTGGTTGAGTACTTCATTTTAGGCTTCATTTTTCAGGCTTCTGTTGGATTAAAATATAACATGAGTTTATTTGTCTCAACTTGAAAACAAACAGAAACAACTGTGGCTAGCTCAGTACCAAATTGGTAACATAACCATAAAGAGGAAATAATTATTTCAGTAAAGTTTAAACATGGTATTCTTTTTTTTTTTTTTTTAAATGGAGCCTCACTCTGTTGCGGAGGCTGGGGTGCAGTGGTGCAATCTTGGCTCACTGCAACCTCCACCTCCTGGGTTCAAGCAATTCTTCTGCCTTAGCCTCCCGAATAGCTGGTACTATAGGCACGTGCCCCCAAGCCAGGGTAATTTTTTTGTATTTTTAGTAGAGACGGGGTTTCACCGTGTTAGCCAGGCTGGTCTCGATCTCATGACCTCGTGATTCACCCACTTTGGCTTCCCAAAGTGCTGGGATTACAGGCATAAGCCACAGGGCCCAGCCCAACATAGTATTCGAACTATGCATTCATGCTAGGATATGGTACTCTGCACTGCACTATGAGGCTTTGGTCAATAGGCTGCATCTTTAATGGTGGTCTCACAAGATTATAATGGAGCTGATAAATTCTTATCACCTAGTGGTGTTGTAGCCATCATAACATCCTAGAACAATTCATTACTTGCATGTTTGTAGTGATAGTGGTGTAAAGAAACCCACTGCACTGCCAGTTATATAAAAGTATAGCACATGCAATCATGTACCGTGTATAATACTTGATAACAAATGACTATGTCACTGGTTTATAATTTGCTATACTGTACTTCGTACAGTTATTGTAGATTGTATTCCATTTACTTATAAAAAATGTTAATTGTAAAGCAGCCTCGGGCAGGTCTGTCAAAAGATATTCCAAAAGAAGACATTGTTGTAGGAAATGACAGCTTCATGTGTGTTATTGCCCCTGAAAAACTTCTGGTAGGATGAGATATGGAAGTGAAAGACAATGATATTAATGATCCTGACCCTGTGTAGCCGTAGGCTAGTGTGTGTGTGTTTGTGTCTTAGATTTTAAGGAAAAAGCTTAAAAAGTAAAAAATTAAAATTGAAAAAATTTAAAAATAGAAGAAATCTTATAGAATAAGGATATAAAGGAAGAAATTTTTGTATGGCTGTATGATGTTTGTGTTTTAAGCTAAGTGTTATTACAAGAGTCAAAACATTTAAAAAATTAAAGGTTTATAAAGTAAAAAAGTTATAGTAAGGAAAGTTAATGTATTATTAAAAAAAGAAAAAAACTTTTAAATAAATTTAGTGTAGCCTAAGTGTACAGTGATCGTAAAGTCCATCGTCGTGCACAGTAATGACCTAGGCCTTTACGTTCACTCACTGCTCACTCATTGACTCACCTAGACTCATTTCCCAGTCCTGCAAGCTCCATTCATGGTTAAGTGCCCTGTACAAGTGTACTATTTTTTAATCTTCATACTATATGTTTACTTTCTTTACTTTTTCTGTGTTTAGATATGTTTAGATACACAAATACCACTATGTTAGACTTGCCATTTTATAACCTATTCTGTCTGAAGTCTACAACCTGAAGGCTTCCTCTGCAAATAAGCACTTTGGTTTCCATAATCATTTATTTTAACCCAGACATTCCTTTCTATTGATCCCAGTTGACTGTAGTCTTTTATCCCTCATTCATCTCCCAGCTGGAACCCTCCACCCCACGTTGCAAGTTGTCCCACCTTTCTGGACCAAACGAATGTATTTTTTAAATGTATTTGATTGAAGTCTCATTTCTCCCTAAATGTGTAAAACTAAGCTGCACACCGACCACCTTGGGCATGTGTTCTCAGGACCTCCTGAAGTCTTTGTCACGGGCCATGGTCACTCATATTTGGCTCAGAATAAATCTCTTCAACTATTTTACAAAGTTTGACTCTTTTTGTAGACAGTGGAAATATTGGTACTGCAATTCTGAGACTGTTTTGTTATACTTTAGAGGAAATAAGTAGATATGTTACATGGTGTTTGATTGTAAGGGAAAGGAGATACAAACATAAAATAAAAGAAGTCATGAGAAAACCTGTGGAATGTTAAATTTGTGTCAGCAATATCAGTGTGCCCATATCTTAGTTTCTTAATACTTTCTCAACTAAAAGGAACCACAGCTCCAGATCTGGAGCTGGTAAAGTAGTGGTGAACATGGAACATCCTGTTGTGTCAGAAAGCAAAGTCACTAAAAAACTAGTGAGGTTGTGTCAGAAGCATATGCATGAGCCACTGGGAAAGATCTCCTGCTGGCCGAACTTGCCACAATTTGAGGATCAAAAAGAATAATGGTGGTAATTTACTATAAAGCATTTAAAGAAATCCACAAGTTCACAGTGTTTCTCAAGAATTCAATGAACAGGGAGAGATCTACTCATTATAGAAGGAATGATAGAATTGAAACTGGCCTCATTGTCTGGGGTACCACCTGGAGTTCTTGATCTCATGACTGAGGTAATCAAGGAATGCGGACATACCAAGGGTGAGGTTAAAGCAAAAGTTTAATAAACAAAAGAAACAGAGAAAGCTCTCTGTGGCAGAGAGGGGTCCTGAAAATGGGTTGCTATTCTATAGTGGAATACAAGCGTTTTTACAAAGGAGCTAGTAGGGAGGGGGTGCTTTATTTATATAAGGTATGACAAACTGGTTAGGACTAGGTGTGTCATCTGCAGAAGGTGTGAATTCCTGACAACCCCAACCCTTTCCTTCTAGTGTTCAAGTGAGCTGGTAGCCTAAGTTACTCCATGTTGTTTGACTTCCCTTACTATGCATGTGTTAGGGGGTAGAATCCTCCATTGTGGGCATGGGTAGCTCAGTGTAACTCCTCTTATCTGAGTAGCTATAGGCATGTTCCAAGCAAGCCCTCCTGAGCAAGTATCCAAAAAAGGAATGTGTTCACTGAGGCCCACTGAATGTATATGAAACTTGCTGATTACACAGAAGGCACTCTTGTGCTGGAGCTTGCTTCCTTATCTATGTTCGCAGCTCGATCTCTCAGGCTACTCTTTGTTAGAAGAAAAGTTCTGCCAAGGACTTTGCCCTAACTATCTGCCTAGCTGTTTTTTTCCCTCTTTCTCTCTCAGAATTAGACAAATCACTATCTTGCAACCCCCAATTTAATACTTGATTCAAGCGAGGAATGTCAATTGATGCAATACCTTGATGATCATGCTAGGTCACTGTGTCATACTGAAAAAACAGGGAGTTCTGTTTCATAAATTGCAAAAAATTCCACATTCTCTTAGTATGATTCTGCAATCTGGCTTCAGCATCAGGGTGTGACACTATTGCAGTGGTTTGTGGAGAGAGCAGGACTCCTTCTCTAGGCTTAAACTCTCTGACATTGCCTGAAATTCTATCAATAATCATTGCTGCTTCTTTTTAAGTATTGGCCTCTTGTTTTGCTACATTATAAACAAGCAAACCAAATTATCCCAGCAGTGGTTACAACTTAAATCTCTTACAAACTTCATATGAATAATCTCTTCTAGCAGTCAAAAGAGGAACATTGAATTCCTGGGTTAGAGGACTCATTACAAGATACACTTTATGCACACTTATTTTGTCCCTGGACAAACCTCTGGAGGCTGAAACTCCAAATGATCTTGTCTAGGTAGAACTGCTATAACCATATGTGCATGCTACCTGTTTACATCCAGTCCCATGTGCAAAATCCTCAATGGTCAGCCAGTTGAAGGCTACCTATTCTGCCTCTCAATCTTGCCACAGGAGTAAATGTTGTGCTCCCACAGCTTAAATACTTCACATTAACCCTTATTTTCTCCCTTGGATTCTCCCACCTTTGTTGATAAAGAATGCTTAGAAGCAGAGGATCTATGTATCATTTTACTGAGTCCCTAACTTTACAGAGGAGTAGACTAAAACTCTGAAGATTAAGTGCCTTGCCTAGGATTATGAAACAGAGCCAGAAACAGAATCTAGCCTCCTGACTTCCATGTTGCTGCCAGTACTTTCCTATCATGTCTCCCTCCACTCTTTCTCTCCCTTTTCTCCTCAAAATAGGAAAAAAAAAATCAGAACTGGGAATTTAACTCCAAACACTCAGCCTTTCTTATATACAAAGCAATTGTCCAACTTATTTGAAATAATAAATTTCTCTATATGGTAGTTAGTTTGTAATCACACGTTTGGAATAATAAGATAGGGAACCTAATTGTAGTTACATTTTAACTTGTACATAAAATAGTTTATATAGTACCCTACACACAGTAGATAATGAAGTAACACTTTACTAACGTAAAAATTACATTGCCATGATGTTGTTTTCTCTTTTACCCAAGGATACTTATATCCTAGAAAAAACAATTATTCGTCATTAAAAAAGTTATTTTTTCTTTCTTATAATCTTAGAATATTTTAATAAAAAGTTACATTTTCAAATAAATATAGGAAATGTTTTAGTCTACATCTTATCTCTTGGAGAGTCAGACTCATGTTAGCATAGAAAAAGTGTTGATTGTCCTTTATTGAAGAATCATGGGTACCTTTGCTTAATTAATTGTTTTCAGTAGTTATTTGATCTCATAACCTTTTTCTCCCCTCTTAGCTTCATGGACTAGTTTGAGAGAATGCACTTAGAAGAAATTTGCCATAAACCAGTATTAGCTTGCATAATTTAAGATAGAGGAACTTAAAATACCACAATTAAATGAAGTCATTGGCACAGAGAAAGTCAACGCCCTTTATAGAACCACATGATAAGTTAAAAGCATAGTCAGGAAATATTTCCAAGTCCTATTCTGAAAAAGTATTTTCTTTAAATAACCTGCAAATTCTTCACTTTGATCACTCTTTTCACCATTTTTTTTAGACTAAAATTTACTCAATACTCTCCTGTTTTTACATCAGAAATATTTCGGAGCATATAGCAATTTAAACTAGTTCTTTTTTGCTGCTATTCCCAGTGACATACAGTAAATATCCCTGCACACTGGTTATGATACTCACCTAAGTTACAAAGTGCTAATCTCAGATGACGTGGTTTCCTGTAGTCAGCAATTGTAGTAGTTAAGGCAGTTACATCCCAGTTGTACTTATATAGACACACACACATGGATTATGCAACATTGCATGACAGCATTTGATGTATGAGGCAATGCAGATGGAGCTAGTTAAAAATGCATTAGAACGTGTGGGAGCTTGTATTCTTGCTACCGTCAGATCCTAAACAGGGATTATTTTAGCTATAACACTTTCATTTCATTTTATTTTGAGACAGAGTCTCTCTCTGCTGCCAGGCTGGAGTCCAGTGGCACAATCTCAGCTCACTGCAACCTCTGCCCCCTGGATTCAAGCAATTCTTCTGCCTCAGCTTCCCAAGTACCAGGAATACAGGTACGCGACACCACACCCAGCTAATTTTTTTGTATTTTTAGTAGAGATGGGGTTTCGCCATGTTGGCCAGGCTGGTCTTGAACTCCTGACCTCAAGTGATCCTCCTGCCTCAGATTCCCAAAGTGCTGGGATTACAAGTGTGAGTCACCACACCTGACCTAGCTGTAGCACTTTCAAAGAGTTATAGTTAGTTAATCATTCACTTTTATAAAATCTCTACAATACAGACTCTAGGTAGTGTTTATTGTATAATACATAATATAGAAGGAAACAGATTGTTCAATTTCCTTTATCTTTTCTAAAGAAAGCAGAATACGTTTTAAGTAATTCTTTTCTGATTATAGAAAGGATATATGTACACTTAGAAAATATGTAAATGACAGGAAAGTGTATGTGTTGTAGATCCTGTCATTCTTTTCCTATCTAAAAAGTTATACGCTTCTCTTAAAAAATAGAATGATTCTGCAAATACAAGCTTTTTCCATTTTCTAATTAACACTATATTATAAATATTTCTACATATTAGAAACATTCTTTACAAGTAATATCATAAATAGAATTCAATCATAGAAATATACCTTAACCAGTCTTTTATTGATTAACACTGGCTGTTGCCAGATTTTGTTTTTGTTTTCTAATATTGCCAGTGTTGCAATATTAGTTTTCTAATATTGATAGTTTGTGTGTGTGTGTGTGTGTGTGTGTGTGTGTGTGTGTGTGTAGGTGTGGGTGTGTGTGCGGGTGTGTGGGTGTAGGGGTGTGGGTATGTATTGTGATTCTTTGAAAATCTTTATAAGTTCATTGGTAGCATAAACTCCTAGTAGTGCAATTGCTGAATCAGAGGGTACATGTATCTTATATATTGACAGATATTAATGAATTGACTTCCAAAAACTTGTATTAATTTACAGTTTCATCAACAATCCAGGTAAGTGCCCTTTTCTCCCTCCTCCTAGCAACAATGAGTGTCATTACCTTTGAAACGTTTGCCTTTCTAAAGAGTGTAAACTATCTTATAGTTATGAATTATATTTCTTTTATTTAGTGGGACTGAGCATCTTTTAAAAAATTATGTATTATCAATTTCTATAAATTATTGATTTTTAAGAACTGTATGTAAACTATGAAATTAGACCCTGTCTGTGATATGTGTTACAGCTTTTTCCCCCATGTCATTTATGTTTAGATTTTGCTAATGGCATTTTTTGGCCATACATAAGCTTTCAAATATTATGTGGTAAAATACAATCAGTGTTTTCTTTTAGAACTTCTGGTTTTGTGTTCTGCTTTAAAATACCTTTCCTCTTTTAAGATTATAAATTTTACTTATGATATTATCTAAAACTTCATTGTTTAATATTTTATATATAAATCTTTGATTGACTCACTATTACTTTTGGTATAAAGAATAAGTTAGGGCTAGGTGTGTGTCTCATGCCTATAATCCCCATGCATTAGGAGGCCTAGGCAGGAGGACCACTTGAAGCTAGGAGTTCAAGACCAGCCTGGGCAACATAAAGAGACCCTGTCTCTACAGAAAATATTTTAAAACTTAGCTGGGCTTGGTGGTGTGCACCTGCTCTCTTAAGCCACTTGGTAGACTGAGGTGGGAGGATCACCTCAGCCTAGGAGTTTAAAGTCATAGTGAGCTCTGATAGCACTATACTCCAGTCTGGACCATGGAGTGAGACCCTGTCTCTAAAAATGAAAAAAATAAAAATAATGAAAAAGAATACATTTGGGATTTTTTTTCTCCCAAATACATTTGAAATTCAATTCAGACAAAGTGAAGTTTCACATGTTATGTTGGGACCAGTTCGCAGAGGGCTATGACTGCTACAATAAGGAGTTTGAGTTTTATCCTATAGACAACATGAATCTTTTGAAAGTTTCTAAAGCAAAAGAGAAGCATCTTCTAGATTGTATTTTATGAATTTAATTTTATGTCTGTGTGAAGCACCATCTGAAGGAAGGAAAGAAGGGAGAGGGAGGAGAAAAGACCCGTTAGGAGGCCAATTAAAATAGCCCAGTCAAAAAGCAAGGGGGACCTAGTGAGGACAATGTTAATAAGACTAATGAGGAGGGGAAGAGAATGATGAGTGCTACAGGTACTTCATAGAGTCCTTGCAGCTTGGTGTGAGTAAGGGCCCCAGAGATTCCGGTTCTAGTTCCACTAAGTTACGCAGTTACCAAGTGGCTGAGTCAGGATTAAAACCCAAGTCTCACTCCCAGTTTAGAGGCATGTCTACCACAATACATCCTCAGCTCTTTCTGGATCTGGGTGTGCCTGCTGTGGACTGGGAAAGAGGGGAAGCAGGGTGGTGAAGGGAAGTGACATAATTCCAGGGGTTAATAATAGGGAACTCAGGTGGGGAGGGACAGGGAGTGAGTTTGATGTGGGGCAGATGGAGTTTGAGGTACTGGAGGAACAGTTATATGGACAATTCAGCAGGGAGTGGGAACTGGGTGGCCAGAGGCCAAAATTACCATGTGGTATTTGTGAAGGCATGATAGTTAATTGTGAGGGAGTGAATGAGATTGTCTTGGCTGAGTGTGGAACAGGAAGAGAAAGCTGTGAGAAGACTAAACTCTGGGATATCTTACATGTAAGGAGAAAGAGGAGAAAAGAAGTTAGTGAGAAGACCAGACAGAGAAGCAGAAAAAAGAGGAGTTCATATAATGAAGGCTAAGAGAGAACATTGTCTCAAAAAGCAGGAACAGTTGGTAATACTCATTATAGAGACCCAGTTGGAGATTAAGAGAACTTGGAGGGAGTCATTTAAGTATGGTAGGAATCTCAAAACAACTCCAGAGGACTGCACAGAGTGGAGGAGGAGGAATTAAGACATTTCCAAGAAGTATAGTACAGTAATGAAAGGGAGCAAAGAAACAAAGAATGGTATCTTTACACAGTAGTGTGGAAAAGAGAAGATGCTACTTACTAGCTAGGTGATCTTGGGCAAGTTACTTGATATCTCTGAAGCCTCAGTTTCTTCTTCATAATAATGACAATTTTTATAATAATAACTGTTACAGTACCCATGATAGCTTCATAATAATTTGAACTTATTGTTGTAAGAATTAAATGAGAAGATATATTTTCAGCACCTAGCACAGTAACTGGTGCAAAGTAGAAACTCAATGTTTGTTATTATTGTCATTAATATTGATGTTTATATTGGGTTGTGAGACTTTTGAGTATGCTTCAATGCAGAAAGAAGGCAGCCTATGAAAAGGGGAAAACTTACATATTTCCAGAGGAGACAGAGAAGAGAGGGGGAAAGAATATGAGTGGAAGGATCGGCTTTGAAAAGAAGGAGGCACACTTATTCCTGCAGGAGAGGAGGAACTAGTGAGAGAATAAGAGAAGATGTGAAGTTTTAAGGCCTAGGGATGTGAACTTAAGGGTCTTATAAAATGGCTTCAATCTGTGTATTGTAGGTTCTGAAAGAGTTACAGAAATTAAAAGAAATAAGCACTGATTTGAAATTTTAAGGATAAGTGGAGAAAAATCTGAAACAGATCCTTAGAGAATATAAAAAAAAGAATTAACTTTGGAATACGGTGATACTGTTAGCATAGAGTTTCAGTTTTGGAAGATGAAAAAATGTTCTCGAGATGGAGGGTGGTGACGGTTGTACATAAATGTGAATGTCATTGAACTGTACACTTAAAAATGTTCAAAATGGTAAATTTTATGTTATGTATGTTTTGCCACAATTTAAAAAAAAGGTTCAAATAAAGAATTTTTAAAATGGAAGTAGAAGAAATAGAAAGATGGGAGTTTGTTCATAAACAGAAGAATTCCAGTGTTCCTTATCTTAGAGAGACATGTTCTGATGATGATGGTAGTCAGAATGAGATTTTTTGGGTGAACTGTTGAATATTGTTAAAGAGTCATCAAAGCAAACAATGAAGTCACCAAAGGTGATAACAGCAGAGGCAACAGTAAATAGCAAAAGAGGTCAGGGTCCCTAGTGACCAGAAAGGAAAGACATTAGTGTAAGTAACTGGGCCCAGGGTTGGGGTTGATGTTAGAAAGACCTTTTCTATGGGGCCTGGGAAATGTGCACACAAAAAAATGGAGTGGGTTTTGAGAATATGACATCACCAGAGGAAAGTCACATTTTAGATAATCATAGGAAATGTGCTTTTGAAGGAAAAGGAGAGAGAGAGTAAGGAGTATGCATGTGTATGGGTGGGGAACATCCTAGAGGAAATGACACACATTTAAATTAGGAAAACAACCAAAAAGATTTTAATCTGTCAATAAATAACATAATAAATAAAATAATATAAGTAGAAATTTATTAGTTGGTCCTTCACCTCTGACCAATAACAACAATGAGAAATATTTGAGTTATTATTATTTTCAAAGTTGCAAATTTGTGTAATTGCCTCTTTGGCTGGAGAAATCTTCCAGAAACTTACATTCAACAAATACTGAATACCCATTACATGACAGGGACTGTGTTTTCCATGAGCATTAACTCATATGGTGCTGCATGAAAATTTTTATTTCATGTTGTCATGTTATCTACGTCTGATCAGCTGGAAAATCATTTATTGAATCACTAACCTCTTATATGTCGGGCAATGATCTTTGGTTTACAATTTCCCACTTTTAAAATGTTAATACCTTTAAAAATGTTAAGTTGGCTGTTGGCCTTTCTTCCTTTATTGTTAATTTTACTTTCAAAATAAATTCATTTAATCAGATTGATTTGCTATGATCAGTCTTGTTACAATGCAGAGTTTATGCGAAATTCTTACTAAAAATGCATACTCATTATGGAAAATTTAGATAATATAGAAAAGAGAAAGTTTGACCTTTGATATCCTAGAGAGTAGTTAAATTATTTTAAGAGGATT